CTTTTTTTTAATTTGTTTATTTTGGTTTTATTTTTCTATCTTCACATCTTCAGTGGAAAACCGTTAAAATCGTTCCGATCAATGCTAAATTTGGGCAGGAATGGTAAGCAACTGTAATAACGACCTCCTCATGCATTTTGTTTTATGTTTTCCTTTGTTTGTCCTCTTACATTTTTCTTGTCCTTCCCCCCTCTTTTTCAGTCTTATTATTCTTGAATCTTAACATATACTATAATATTAGTACCTTATTATGAGGACGTGTTTCTGATCAGTGGTTGTATGTAGTCTTCGTCCTTGACTACGTTTGTTTATTATATGAAGCCATAATATATTTGTTATCTGTAATAAAAGTAGAGAAAACAACAACAACAACAACAACAACAATTATTATTATTATTATTATTATTATTATTATTATTATTATTATTATTATGTATTCTATTGGTACAGTTTTCATTATAACAAAAGTTACTATTTATATAAAAAAATCATTTACAACACATGAACCGTAATAGCAAAATTACACCTATATTAATATAAATACAAAATTCCACTATCAACTAATCATACTATATTTTACAAAATTAACTATGATTGACAAAACAATCAATCAAAATCAAATCAAACTCATATTCCATCACACCCGAAGGAACTCTTGGGGGTATTTTTCATTAAATTCTTTAGTTAATAGGAAGCCTTGCGGCAAAGCTATTAGGCTAAGGGTGTGATGAAATATAATATAAATTATTTTGATTTTGATTGGATTTATTGGATAAAATTAGTTGTTTTAAATAAAATTGATTGAATAGACAATTAAGTGGAATTTTGAGTCGGTATTTAAATAATATTTGAGATGTAATGATTAAAGTTGATGTGACGTAAAAATGTGAGAGATGTGATTTAAAATGGTGAGTAGTTAGAAATATGTGAGTGGATGAATAGTGAATTAAAACTGATGTGCTATATGAAGGTGATTGATTAATGATATTATTTAATTATATTTTTCCATATATAATTTTCGAATGTCCTGAGCCTAAGTGGTAGACCCGCACGCTTCAGGATCCTTTATGCGAACTTTTCATGCTTTGTTATTTGACTTTGATAGATTTAATTTATTTTCAATCTAAGAATAACTAGACTTTGAATATCCTTAAATATATATTGGATATTTATGATTCATTTTGAGGGCATTGATTATTTCTAATATCATTTCCTATTCTAGACGTGATTTATAAGACATAATTTTTTTACCAATCTTTCCTTCCTCATCTTTCTTTTAAAATTATAAAAAAAAAAATACTAAGTTAAATTATAAATGTAACTAAAGTAATAAATATTTTATTTCTTATTAATTTTTTATGTATAATATACGAAACTAGTCGTGTCTGAGTGAGTTTGATTAGACATCTATACCTTATATACAAAATAAATAATTATATTTATTTATTTTTATAATAAAATTAAAACTACCAATTAATATTAATTAGAAAAATTGTAATTATTTTAAATTAATCGATGTACAAAGTAGTTATAGGATATAAATTAAAAAAATTATAATTATATAATATGGTAAGTCGTATAAGTGACTGGTGTAATTTTAAATATAAATTATTATAATATAAATTATTATATTTTTTATTTTTAAATATAAATTTATTAACAAGCATGGTAATACACAGTCGTGGTACTAGTTTATAATATTGAGAAAATTTAAATTAGATAAAATTGAATTGTATTTTAAGTTAAATAGTATATGAAAATTATATGGTCAATCAAAACCAGATAATTTTTATATGCAATTATCCCTTAGAGTGTATTTTCCAGTTTTCTATAGGTTGAAAATGACAATAACATTAATAATTAAATTAAAATTTGGTTATTAGTGTATTTTTCATGGTTGTAATAAACTTTTTATTCGTTTTCGATATTCTTTTAGACTTGTATGTGTTGTTTGATCTTATCCATTTATATGATATTAGTATCAATTATTTTTTATTATTGTTATTTTTGTCATTATTATTACTCGGATTTAGCAATTAGGAGATTCATCCTCGTATATATATGTCTCAAATGGATATGTTGTCAATAAGGGTATGATGTGTTTATGAAAGTTTGAAAATATATATCAAAACATCCTAAACTCATCACATACAAAACATATCACCATGTATGTTTACATTTTTTTCTTTCTCTTTTCCATTTTTGTCATTAAGATTGTGGTGTATGAAATTCCTATGGATTACACTTTACAGCCATACAAAGTTACAAATATCCTTTTCAAGTCAGATTTTCAAGTTCATCCATATATCCACACTAGCCTTTTTGACTTTTTTTTTTCCTTTTAAAAATACAAAAAAAAAATTGTTTTTGTGTTAGTATATATAGATTCAAAGGATATCATTTGGTGAACTTTTGCTCATATTTTCTAAGGAAATTAGGGTGGAATATTTTGACTTTCTTGATAAAACGGTGATGAGCACAAAGTATGTTGGAAGATTAATTAAATGTGATAAATGAGAGAGTTGGTATGAAGATTTTAATGTAAACAACGATAATTGGTAATTTAAAAAGAAAAAATAATCATTGCGACGAGAATAATAAATACAATCTGATATAGGATATCATATCAAGTCGAGTATGATCTAAAGAGTAGTTCGATTGACTTAGGTTGACCGACAAGTCAGTTAATTAAGCATCAGGGACATGATAGCCTGATAGGTCGTGAGAACATCATGTCAATCGTGATCCTGGAGAGAAGTTAGCATGCCAACAGGTCGAGCTAGGGCTATCGACTAGCTGGTAGAATTCGACTTGAAGGCCTCTAGGTCGATGGTGCAACCTAAGCACCGAGGCTTATACACTGATTGTCGGAGCAACTTGGTTTAGAAGAAGTATAACTAAGATTAGAAGAACACGTGGGTAGGACAACGTGGCCTAATAGAGTGGGGCAGTTTGGGCACCCGAGTAGTACAAACGGTAGCTCGGGCAGTCCAATTGGACAATCTTGAGCAGCAAGGTAACACTCCTATATAAAGGGATAATGTATGATCACTCACACCCTATACATTCTAATATACTTACAACTTATATACAATTCTTGCGGTTCATCATCTTCTTCACATTCTAAAAATTTATTGTTAAAAATGCTCTTACAATTACTTCTCTTTTGCTTTCATATCAAATTGATTTTAATTATTTTATTTTAAATATAATTTTAATAAAAATTCAAAATTACACTCATAGCTACACTAACTTTTTGTCAAAACTAATTATGATTAATAAAAAAAAAAATCAATCACAACCAAAATATTCAAGTGCAAACTTTTATTCAACCACAACCAAAAGGGTCGGGTGAGTGCGCAGCTGCGCAAATGGTTTGGTGTGATAACATGAATGACCCATTTGTTATCCCCTCTATATACATAAATAACATGAATGTGCTGAGCCTACGTGGCTAAATAATATAAATGTGCTGAGCCTACGTGACAAACTCTCATGCTTCGGAATTTTATTTAGCAAAAAATCATGCTTTGGAGTTAGACTTGGATATAAATTAAATTTGTATTAATTGTATTTTAATATCATTTCCTATTATAACCATGCATTGAATTGCAAATATATTTTAAAACTTGATAACTTTTGTATTTCTTATGGGTTTTACATATATAATATATCAAATTAATTATCTTTTGATGAGTTTCAATTTGACATCCATATTGTATATATATAATAAATAAATTATATTTATCTTTATAATAATAATAAACTTATGTATTAAAATTAATTAAAAAATAAAACTATTTATTTTATTTATTAAAATTAATTAGAAAATAAAATTATTTATCAATTAATATATTTATGTTTTATGTAGTTATATGTTATAAGGTAGAAAAGTTATTATAATATAACACATATAAGTCGCACAAATAACATGTGTCATATTAAAATATATAATAATATGTACTCCCTCATATTTTTATTATTTGTCACTTTCGCTTAATTGATCATTAATAACATAAATGTCGTTTTAGATATTTTGTTCATATTTTTTAATTTTTAACCCTCCATCTAAAACACAATGTCTCTTCATATTCCATCTCCATCGTTTCTTATAACATCCATTAAATAGAGGGTTAATATTGTCAAGAAAAAAATCTTGATTACTGTGTTGCATTTGAATTGATATTATGAGTCCGTTTGTATTTTACTATTTATATATATATAATACAAAACAGTAATATATATCCTTTTAAATAAAATTTAAACTAATTTATTAAACTAAATTAAATTATATCAAATAAAACTATAAATTATATTATAAAGTAATAGAAATTGGTATGTATTCTTTTAAAAATGATATTTATTTCAAATGTGATTGGTATGTTGTCAATGTAATAAAAATAAATATTTATTTTTATAAATTTTAAAATTACATATAAAAATAAATATTTATTTATATAATTATTCTACACTTGTGCATATACATATCACCATATTATTTCTATTTATAGAAGATATATATTTTTGTACTTATGTAACAGTATCGATATTTTTATATGATATACGTAAAAAAATTCAACATGGGTTGACATTTTACGGATGTTTAATTATTAGGATTAAAAAAATATAATTTGATAATTTAATTAAAACCTAAAGTAATGTTTTATATAAAATTAAATTATTTTAGTTTTTAAAAAAATAAAAAATATAATATTTTTTACAATATTTTTCTAATTCAATACAACTAGTTAATATTATTTGCTTAATGGCAATTATCACGTGCGATTAAAACGCACTTTAAAAACACCACTATTTTTTATTTATAATAATAAATGCCTACTAGAGTCCAAGTCATAATCAAACATATTCCAATTTCCAATATAACACCTAAATATCCTTCAAATTCCAATCTGAAGACAAAAGCCCATATGCACAAAATAATAAAATTAAGTAGAATTTTCCGGCGAACATGTCAAGTTTCAGGCAATTTTCCAATGGCCGCCGGCAAGGAGGAGCACTTCAGAAGCCCGAACAAAACGAGAAGTCCAATTTTGTACGGACATGCAACCTCTTAAGTAGATACATCAAGGAAAAAGGAAGTCTTAAAGATTTCCACATTGAAATTGGTGGCAAAATTGAGAGCCTCCAAGATATAATCAGTAAGATTTTCTACGTAATTTAGTTTTAATTTTAATCCCAGTCTCAGATTTTGTTTTGCAGTATGCCGTCTTCATTATTTTCTCAAATTATATGGGAACTCTGATTTTAATTTTGGGGCCACTGTACTTGAAATTTCCCTATTTGACAAAGTACATAGATAAATCCTTTGCTTTTTATCATCTGCAGAGTTTCTAAAATTAGCTAAATTCTTTGTAGATCCAAATGGTTTTAGTTCAGATATGTATGGAAAAAATAAATAAATTTTCAGCTTTCACCATTTGCAATTATAGTTTATTATGTACTATTTTTAGGTTTATAAATAGGATTTATTTATTTTTTTTTTTTTTTTTTTTTCAAAATTTCACTATTATTTTCTATGTGATAACTGTTGCAGAAAATAATGAAATAANTACTGTTAGGAAAGATTTGATAACAAGCTTGCTCAATTTTCAACTAAATTGGCATGAGTCATGACTTGTGGAAAAATTAAATTCTCTTTAGCTGGATTAGTCAATGTGAGTTGGCATTTAACTGTCCAATCCTACTGATCTTATATTATTACCAATATCTTTTAGCCTTGACTCTTAAGTCTTAACCCATCCACACCTAATTTAGTTCATTTATCCAAAAAAAAAAATAAAAATAAAAATATAAAGTGACAACTTGATTCTATTCCAGTAAAGAGGCGGCAATTTCTACTCCTAAGTCAGCCCAACTGACGATTTTCTACTCGGGTCGAGTGTTGGTGTTTGAAGATTATCCAGCTGGAAAGGCCCAAGAACTCGTGGCCTACGCTAAAAAACAGAGCTCACAAGTGCATGAAAATGCGGGCCCATCTGGTGGCCAATGGGCCTTGAGCTCTAGCCCACGAGAAGGGCTTCCGCCAAGGCCACAGCCTAGTGGTTCTCATAAGGCTGTGGGTATTGCATTGAACAATTGTGAGGTACAAACAAACGATGCAGTTAGAGAAGAACAACAGCAGGCTACTGCAAAAAACGGTTCAGGTAATTGAGATTTATTGCTATGTTATTAGTTGTTTTAATTTAGAGTTGGTTGTAGGGACTTCACCTCAAGTTATAGTCTAACTGTAAAAATTGGAGAATTGGAGAAAAGGATCCATTTAATATTTTAACATTGTAGTAGCTCTCATCTATGATAGTGGTTTCTATTTGACAATTTGCATTTTTCATTTAGGAATTCAATTGAATTNCTGTTTGCATTTTAATTTATATATCTTTGAGTATCTGATTTATCGTGTAGATTTGCCTATTGCTCGAAGGTCATCCATTCATCGGTTTCTTGAGAAGAGGAAAGATAGGTATATACAAATCTTTTTTCTTCAATTCATCTTTTATGCAGAGAGATTATTGATTTGTGGCTGCAAGAAAGATCATCAAGATTCATCTATCGATAGACCTAAAAGTATTATTATTATTTCTTGATTTGAAAATTCAAGAAAATGTATTTTCAAATTTCAAGGAAAAGAATGTTGAGTAAGGTAGGCAGATTCAACAGTTAGATAGCTATGTTTATACAAATTGCATACTTCCAACTGAAGTGACACTCTGAATAAAACAACATAAAGAAAAGTTTGGATATTTTATAATATAAGTATGTATTTATATTACAAGTATATGATGGGTCGACCAAGTTAACGGTTAGGGCGACTCACAAGATAATCCGTATAAAACTTTTTTATGGGATTGGAAGGACTTGTGGTGGGAAAAGTAGCTCTGAACTTGTGCAATTAAATTCAATTTAATGCAATAAAAAATATGGCAGTCCAACTCATGGCTCTAATCTAATACTATCATTTAAGAAAAATCTAACCTGTTACAACCGCTATATAATTACTTGATAAATAGACCAGCACAAGTTAGTTAATGAAATATAATTATTGTTGTTGGTCTAACTACTAACTTTATCTTTATTTGTTATCATGTTTTAGGGATTCTGCTAGAGGGCCTTATCAAGTTCACGAAGAGCCAACTTCTTCTTATTTCAAGGGAGATGAACAGCTTGAGCTCAAATTATAACCATTTAGATGACAAATTTAAATGCCTGCTTTCTTTGAGCTTTTTCATTCTTCTACTGTAGTGTTTTTTTTTTTTTTCCAACATGTTATAAAAGTTGATTGTTTGGCTGATGCCCGTTGTACTTTCAGGCAACCCTCTTGGGCACCAAAACAACACTAGTTAAGATCAACATTATAAATAGAGGGTAAGAATATGATCATTATCCTCTTTCTCTCCTTTATTCTTTAATACCTGAAATTATCTTTTAGTCTTGAGATCTCTCACTAACTTGACTGTCCGAGTGCTAATACTGGGAGAACCTCCTGGCCACTTTTGCAAGTCACCAGTTCCATCGTGGACAACATCTTAGGCGATTGGATTACTAGAACACCATCATTTATCATGGATGTACCTCTAGACTACGACTGACTTAAGGCCAAGGCCCATGATTTTCTTTTGATTTGTTCTGTTTTTTCCTTGGGACTAGTTGTTGCTGCTAGAAATTGGATATAAAACAAAAAGACGGTCGAAGTTGAATCATATTATATAGTGGAGAAATGCTATGGAGCTAATGGTTGGCTCCTTTATGGAGCCAACCACCAATGTTATAGTGTCATGTAGGCCATGTGAAAAAATAATTAACTCCACATGGCTTACGTGACACTATAACAATTGGTGGTTGGTTCCATAAAGGAACCAACCATTGGCTCCATAACATTTCTCTATACAGTGAGTTTCATTTCTGTAGGTAGGAATGATGGCGCAAAGCAGATCCAAATTGTAAGTGAAATACCACCAGTCTTGTTTGGACCGAGGAGTTTTCGCAAGATTTTCAAGTTTCATACTCCTCTTTTTTAATTCTCTCTGATTTTTGCGCTCGGATAGATTCCTTTGAGTTTTCGCCCATCCTCTGATTTTTTTTTGTTAATCGTTGTTAATTTTGAAAAAAAAAAGTGGTTTTGTTGTTAGTGAGATTTTGACTAATATTAAATAATATTTAAAATAAAACAATTAAAGTTGATTTAAGGTAAAAGTAGGAGAAAAATTATGTGAAGTGATGGTTAATTAAAGTTATGTGAGTGAACGAATAGTAAATTAAAATTGATGTGATGTGTAAGAATGATTGATTGAGATTATTTAATTATACTGATAATATTTAGAATAATTAGATTGAGTTAAAATTGAGTTAAATAAAGTGTATGAATTGAATATGAATTGTTTTATATTATATACAAACACACCCTAAAATTGAGAACAATTTTATCACAACCCTGGGCAGTGACAGAACTGTTAAGAGCATGATTGGATATAAATCCAACCCAAAAAATCCAATCAGTTTTAACTCAACCACTTTTTTTAACTCAACATCACTATCATCAATATTATCAATATAATTAAATAATATCAATCAATCATTTTTACACACAACATCAACCTTAATTCACTATTCATCAACTCAAATAATTTTAACTGATCATTACATCACATCTTCTCTCTCCTATTTTTATACTAATTTAATTTTAATTATTTTATTTTTAATATTATTTTAATATGCCCACTAGCAACTAACCATACCAACTTTTTCAAATTTAACCAATAAAAAAGAAAAAAAATCCAATCAAAACAAAAAAAAAATTATATCCAATCATGCTCATAGTTTCTGGAATAGTTTTATGCGACCATTCATGCTGGGAATTAAAAAGCGGGCTGCAATCATGTGAAGGAAACAAGAGCTTGAATTGTACACCCTACGTAGGCCTCTAAATGTACGAGCCGAGTTCGGCTCGTTAAATAAACGATTCAAAAATTGAGCTCGAGCTCTGTTCGTTAAGGCTTCGCGCTCGAGTCTTAATGAGCCGATCTCGAATTTTAACGAATCGAATTATAGAAAATTATACAAAAACTTTCTTTTCTAACCTTAACGAACATTATCGAGTTGAGCTCGTTAACCAAACGAGCTTTAAATGAACTCGAGTACGTCTCGTTAAGACTTCAAATTTGAGCCATAACGAGCCAAGCTCGAGTCAAGCCAGACTCGTTTAATTTAACAACACTAAGAGCCACTCCAATGCTGCTTTAGAATAGCGCAAAAAGTTGAAGTAGCGTGAAAAAATATCTCCAAGGCAGCGCTATATTTTAGCGCTAGATCAGATAAATAAACAGTATTGCGCCAGTTCTAGCGCAGTACTGTAGCAGAACGCCAGAATTTTTTATTTTTTTTTCTTTTTTTTTAATGTATTATTAATGATAAATTTTTGATAATGTATATTAATAAATATGTTTTTATGTTAAATAACTTTGTGCAATGTATTTTTTATACTAAATAATTTTGTACTTTTTATTTATTGATGTATTATATATTTATATTGTAATTTTTTAATATTAAAATAGTACCACATGAATAAAAGTTTAACACATTCGAACAAGTAAATTTGCACTAATTCATATATGGTCTAAACCATATATGGTCTAGTGTGTAAACTTGCACTAATTCATATATTTTCAAAAGTAATAGTTTTGATTCAATCGGTACATAGATGTATATGTATCTTCTTTAAGAAATTCAATTTATTACAATCATTTTTTAAATGTGAAATAATAGTATTGAGGAAAATAATAATATTTTAAAGGATGTATATTAATTTTATTTTGTAATTTTTTAATATTAAAATACCACCAAAAATGAATATAAGATGAAATACACATATATTAGAATTTATTTGAAATAAAAATGAATAAAAAAGATAATAAATTTGAATCAACCATAGGACTCTTATCTAAAGATCAATGGCTAAGATCATATATATACATAATAAAATTTGCATAAGATATGGTCTAAACCATATATGGTCTAGTGTGTAAATTTGCACTAATTCATATATGGTCTAAACCATATATGGTCTAGTGTGTAAATTTGCACCAATTCATATATTTTCAAAAGTAACAGTTTTGATTCAATCGGTACATAGATGTATATGTATCTTCTTTAAGAAATTCAATTTATTACTATTATTTTTTAAATGTGAAGATATGGTCTAAACCACATATGGTCTAGTGTGTAAATTTGCACTAATTCATATATGGTCTAAACCATATATGGTCTAGTGTGTAAACCATAATTTTTTTTTTATTTACTATTTGGGTAATAAACATTTATATAATATTACATATTCATATATATAGCAAATTATTCGAAATAAAAATAAATAAAATATATTTTTATTATTTGAGTAATTAACATTTTATATAAAATTAAATATACATATATACCAATTTATTTGAAATAAAAAATGAATAAAAAAATAATATATTTAATGTAGAGTAAAATGTAGAGATAAGAGTTGGAGATGAATGTTCAACTCTACTCTAGAGTAGAGTAAAATCCGCGCTAGAGTAGAGATAAGGGCTGGAGATGGCCTAACATATGTAGACGAGCGTTAATAAAATTGTATATGTTTTAAATTAATCATTAAGGTGCGCCTCAGAACGATGTTGGAGATTTGGACAGATTCACATTTCACCCTACACACATTTCCTGAAGGCTGGAAATAAAACCCTTTCCCGCGTGTAAAACCCTAAAATCAAACATTTTTCTGCAATTCGCAATTAATCACCTTTGCCATTCTCCTCAGTAATGGAGGTGGAGATGGAGACTTCTCCCAGCTATTTCGATCCAGAGGATCTCAGCGATAGAGAGCGCTTTCGTAGATACGGGTACTTGACTTTACCCCCGCAAAAAGACCCGACAACTATAGGAAAATTTTCGAGTTCATCAATGTTGGACGTTAGATATATTATTTCAAATTTCTGAGCAGGCGTGATTGGCTTTTGGCGTGCGCTTAAAGTTGGCAGATAGTCAGTTCAGTGTATTCAGGGCTTAGCCGGAAACACTCTAAAATATTTTGGAGTTCTTTTTTTCTTTTCTTATTCGTGTTTCTATGTGATAATGCTCTTTCTTTTTTAATATCTGGGTCGTGGGACATGAAGGATGCAAAGTTCCAAAGGAGATAGTTTATTTATTTTGCTTTTCTGTCATTAGCTAGCTTACTGGTCTTTTATCATGGGTTTGGATGATGTGCTTTCTCATATGTACGGAAACTATGATATTGAGGTGTGTGTTTTAAAGGTCATAATACCTTGCTTCGCTTTATAGTTTATATTTCGTAAATGTCGAGGTGCTGGCATTAAATCGAAGTTAACATCTGCAGGAAAAGGCATCCCAGCTCAAGCCTATCTCCACACCATGATAACTCGGCATCAAGATTCAGTAATGCTGCACTTTTTCTTGAAAATATCAAACATGAGGTTGAGAACTTTGACTCAGATATTGGGGGAACACCTTATGAATCTGGATCCAAGAGGCGAGCATCCATTTATAGCGATGCCGAGACAATACGCAGGCGGGGAAGTGAATCCTTAAAGGTCTGTAAGCAGGAAGAGCATGAGCAAAGTGAAAGTGCCGATACTACTTTCTCTTTATTTGCTTCTCTCCTGGATTCATGTCTTCAAGGTACTTGAATGAAAATGCTTTGCTAATACTGAATTCTACCTAGTTTTGTTTTTGGACGTAACTGCATATACAGACAATTTTAAAAAGTCTGTTTATTTAACATTGGAAGAATTGAAGTCATTGTTACTTTCTCGGGAGTTTCTTTGGATTTAATCATTTGATGTCTCTAATGAGCTTTTGGCTAGATTAGAGACAAAACACATAATAGGATTTAGCTGTGGGTTATAGATGTCAAAACTAATTATGCAAATTTGTGCTGTGACCCCCATTTTTGAAATTCTGAAGCTGGATAACCTGCTGAGGAAGGCACCAATCATATGGGTGTGTCATGCTTGCCTTTAAGAAGGGAAGTATGAAAGGATGAATGAGTCATCCATTGAGCTCCAAATTATAATCCTCAAATAAGATTAGACATGCATGTGTGTAACCATTCACAATGATCAGTTGCATCTTCTCATGAGATGTTGGAGATGTTTGTAGAATGCTGCTGTTAGTTCACATATTATGCTACTTTCTAGGCATTATTGGGGTTGAATATGTCTGACAGGAAACGATAAATTGTTTAACTATTTCTGCATTTGAGTTGAAACCTTTTAGCCCTGTCACTTCATGATTTCAGTCATAATGAATATGCAAATGCTGTCACTAGTAATTTATCTACCGATGATCATTTACACCTTTTCACATTGTTTGTTGGGGGGTACCGATTTTTTTTCTTCAATTGACTTATTTTTATCTTCCTTTTCTTTTAAACTAATTTTATTTTAAAATGAAACTGAGAAAGCTTCAGTTTGGTGTCATGATCTGTACTAGTAATCAATCCTGTGCAAGATCTAAATATAATATTATCAGTTATACGTATGTATATTATATCTATATCTAAAATAATAAGTTATATAACCGGAATATCACATTCAATAAATTTAATATTAGTAAAAATGAACAATGTAATTATAAATTATTTTACTTTTATATGAATAACTATATAAATTGCATAAAATATAATGAATAATGCAACTTTTACAAACTTAAAGGGTTGCGACCAGTTAATTAGTTGATAAAATATTAAATTATTATTATAGCAATTGTTCACGCAGTTTTAAAGGGTTTGCTATGGCATTATAACCTATTAGTTATCAAAAATTGTTTAATGAGATAAAAATAAAAGGATAATATTTATTTGAAATTAAATAACTTTCATGTACTAATGTGAATTTATAATTTGTTACTATTAGTAGTGATTATTATATGATAGACTAATTACAAAAACTATTATCATCCTTAATTAATATAAACTGTAACGGTTAGTTTCACAATTAAATGAAAAAAATGGGCGGTAAAATTGCATTAAATGAATAACCTCTAATTATATATATAGACATAGATGTTCTACTGAAGATTTATTATCAAGACTAAAATTCAGTTGTGCTATGCGCTTTCCATCAATGAGCAGTGTTATCTTGAGATCTTAACGCAGAATTTTATGTTGCTTTTTTGCTTCAGGATTGATGCCCATCCCTGATTTGATACTCCACTTTGAGAATTCATGTCGTAATGTTTCAGAGTCCATTAGGTACTTTGTTGATTGCTTTACTATCATGCTATCCAGTTATCTTTTCTGGGAGAACCAGCTGTGAAAAACAAATGGTTGGTGCCCCTTAGGGTGTATTCACATGATGATTAGTGATCTTGCAGAAGCTGTGTGATGTGCAGTAAGTTTTCTATGGTTAGATTGTTATTCTAGGTCATGGATGTTTTGCTCCTGTCAAGAAACCACTCGAATGCATGCTAGCAGGTTGAGAGTTTGGTTTCAAGTTGATTATGTTTGGACTATTAAGATGCGCAATGAAGCAGAAATATTAAATTCTTTTCCCGTTATTGTGCTTTTTATCACTTGGCCTAAATAGTAGAACGGGACTTGTTTCGTTATTGTGCTTTTTATCACTTGGCCTAAATAGTAGAACGGGACTTGTTTCTCTACATTTTGACTACGGGTTTATTGGCTGCCTTAATTTTCTCTGTCTGTGCTGACAGCGGTGGCAGATGTGGGGGAAGGTTTTCTGTGCCTTCTTTACCTGAACCTGAAATATATGGCACTATACGAAATTTCAAGGTTCTAGGATGTTTAAAAACTCTGTATGACTGCTTACTTATATCCATCTTTGTGTGAAATTAGCTCATTGTAACCTTCAATTCAGTGTGGTACTTAAATTGTACAATGTTTTTCAATAAGTTCCTAACATTGACCTGCTCATACATTTTATATTTAATAATTATGCCTTTTCAACTATTTGTCGCCATCGGTTTGTCAGGACACTGTTACTGTTTTTAGTGGTTTTGGCTACATTGTTGTCATTTTTGGTGCAGATTTGGTGCCAATGAAAGGTACAGAATTGTTGAAGATAAATTGATGAGGCAGAGAGCTCGGTTCTTGCTTGACGAAGCTGCTTCGTGGTCTCTTCTGTGGTATCTGTACGGAAAAGGTGATTTACATGTCAGATAAATCATTCACCTTTATTCGTGCATTATTTTTGAGTAATTCTTTGAATCAGTCTTCTTACCATGTCATAACAAATGTTTCATTGCATGAACGAAGCTTATTTATATCATGTCTACCATGCAAAATATATAAATAGGAAACACCGATGAAGAAATTGCATTGTTGTAGCTCATTTCATTCTTTGAAGCATAGCTCGCTCGCCAGTTTCTATCTGAATAATTGAGTTATTTTGTTACCAGGATTTGGATATTGTTATTTTCAGATGTTAATAGAGTTGNGGGGGCGGGGTGGGGGGTGGGGGTGGGATTGTAAGTTATGAGTGGAAAATATATTTTTCAGTTTGTAAGGTCTATAAAAAGAATCTTGTTATATATGTTTATATTTCGTTGGAGCAAAATCTCATTGTCTATCACCTAGCATAGACTTTTCCTTTTTTTCTTGTGTAATGATTATTACTTCGACCTTGCTGAAAATACAATGTTTTGAGGCTAATATCCTTCATTATTTCCTTGCAGGAAATGAAGAAGTCCCTGAAGATTTAGTCATGGTGATTGTCATTCATAATGAACTTCTTTGTTATATATATATATCAGCATCATATGTGTCATGATTTGATTGGACAATTGAATTTTAACTTGTTGAATAACATGCTTTAACTCAGTTCCCGACGACTTCTCATTTGGAGGCCTGCCAATTTGTTACAAAAGATCATACCGCACAATTATGTCTGAGGATTGTTCAATGGCTTGAAGGATTAGCTTCCAAAGCACTTGATTTGGATAATAAGGTAATGAGTCCATTAATATACAATACTACGAGCATCTCTTCCCCCCCATACACAACTAAAATGTGCGATTGTCCATGAATTTTATTTGATAACCTCTCTCCTTTTCAAACTCCAGCTCTAATCATGCCAGAATTCTCTACTGAGATTCTTCCTGAGGCTTCAGAGATTTTATCATGTTACTACAAACGTAAAGTGTTTCCTTTCTAATTTTTTTCAGGTCAGAGGGTCACATGTTGGTACTTACCTCCCAAGCTCTGGTGTTTGGCATCACACTCAAAGACATCTCAAAAGAGGTGCCTCAAATACAAAGACAATTAAACACTTGGATTTTGATGCTCCAACACGTGAACATTCTCATCAGCTGCCTGATGATAAGGTACTTCTCCAAACAAAAAATTCTTGCATGTCCATAATTCTTTTGATAATGGCTAGTTGGCCACTATATCTTTTGCAACCTTCTGTTTTTGGTTTGTTTGATTGATGGTTGCAACTTTTCTATGACTCCTTAAATCCCGCTATTGGTTTGTTTTCATCTTGTATCCATTAAAGGTTTTTTTGTCCTAAATGGTGCTTTTTTGATACCGGCACCTACTTAGACTTTTTATGGGCGAAAATTGATAATGCAAAGGTTTCACTTTCTAATCTCTCATGTGAAGCCTTTTGCCAATTATATGTGAACTGGGCACGATTGGATATAAATAAAACCGTTTTTGGTTGGATTTATTGGTTAAAGTGAGTTAATTTTGAAAAGTTGATTGAGTGGAGTATTGAATGGGATTTTGAGTTTATATTATAATAATATTTAAAATGTAATAAGTAAAGTTGATGATGTAAAAGCAAGAGAAAGGTTATTAGAAATGATAGGTAGTTAAAAATTATGTGAGTGGATGAATGGTGAATTAAAGTTGATTTGTTGTGTAAGGATGATCGATTGATATTATTTAGCTATATTGATAATATTGAGGTGAGTTGGGTTGGGTTAAATTTGATTGGATTTTCAGTTAAAGAGTGTAAAAAAATTATTCGGTTAGTCAAAACTGGTTATATTATAGCCAATCGCGCCCTAATTTTTAACTGAGGATTATTTCCTTCTGCAGCTCATATGGTGTGAGCACTGATTGTAGATTATGAGTATCAACATAGTTTTTATGCTAATTGATTGTTGGATCCTGATATTTATTAATATTAGGGCATTTTAATTCTTACAACAGAAACAGGATGAATCTCTTTTAGAAGATATCTGGACTCTTCTGAGAGCTGGAAGATTAGAAGAGGCATGTAGTCTTTGCAGGTCTGCTGGTCAGGTATGAATTTCTTTGCATGTAATCCATAAAGGAAAATCTTGTCTTTATACTGGAAGGCCAACGTTTTGGCAGCCATGGAGAGCTTCGAGTTTATGTCCCTTCGGGGGACTCAATTTATTCCCATCTATCGAAGCTCTGGAGAAAAATGGCAAGAACAGAATGTTACAGGCCATTGAATTGGAAAGTGGAATTGGTCATCAGTGGCGTCTTTGGAGATGGGCCTCCTATTGTGCATCCGAAGTAAGTAAAAATGAGAAGTTTGATTGCTCCAAATTTTGTCAGAGATGCATAACGGAAACCCAAAGCTACTTATTTGAACCATAAACTTATTTCTGGATTCTTTTTGCCATTACTTTGCATGTTTACCGTTTAGTTCTGGCAATTGGAATGTATTTTCTTGTTTCATTGAAGCTTTAAATGTGAAGCTCTACGTTTCATGATATCTAATTTGTTGAGCTTCATGAAAGTGGTAATCCTTAGCATATCAGTTCATTTTCAGAGATTCCAGATCATTGTGTATGTAGTATTGCTGAACTGTTACTTAGCTTGTTTTATTCTTGTGGTTTGTTGTTTGGAGAAAATTGCTGAAGAAGATGGTGGGAAGTATGAAAGAGCGGTATATGCAGCCCAATCCAGCAACCTGAAGCGCCTTCTTCCAGTTTGTACCGATTGGGAAGTATGTAATTCTTCCTAGTGTTGAAAAATTTGAGTATATTGTACTTGACATTTTCTTTTATTATTTTATTTCCTTGGGGAAAAAACAGGATTCTGAGTACTTTTTTTGAAATAAAGGTTGCTAAAATGTTTCAAGCGTTCTTAGTTGTCACTCTTGTGGTGTTGAAGTTCATTCAATGTACTTAATTTTTGTCTAATGTTTATTAGAACTTTTTTTCTTATTTTTTTCCCGTAAAAGCTCTCACCTGTGATCCATGCAAAAATATTCAGAACCATAGAATAGGTTTCATGTTTGTTGATATCATAAGACACATCCCCCAAGTTTGTAAAAATGTCTGTCTGGTCGATAGTTAAGTTGTGTAACTGACAACATATAATCGAGTTGTAATATTTATGATCCAGTGGTGGCATTAATAGATTTGTATTAAGAACGATTATCTGACAAATTCATGTTTGTGTGAGACTATTTAAGATGTTCATTTGGTAGTTTCCCCTTTTTCATGCTGTCTGTCCCTTTTCAGTCTGCATGCTGGGCAATGGCGAAGTCTTGGCTTGACGTGCAAGTTGATATAGAAATAGCTCGCTTGCGACCAGACAGAACAGATCTGTTCAAGAATCTTGAAGAAGCAATGGAGAGAAGTCCAGGGCAAGGGGATCTTGTGTCTCAGCAAAGTAGTGGACCAGACACATGGCCACTTAAGGTTCTGAGTCAGCAACCAAGGGATCTTACTTCTCTTCTTCAGAAGCTTCATTCAAGGTAAGCATGAATCATTTTGATTAAGTTAATAATTTCTGTCACTATAGGCAACTAATTTCGTCTATCAATGTTTGCATAACTTAGTGACGCTGTGAATGAAGCTGTTACTCGAGCATGCAAGGAGCAACAGAGGCAAATCGAGGTAACAATCTTTGTGGAGACCATTCTCTTAGTTTGCTTAAAGATGCCATTCTCGAGTTATCAATCATCAATTCGACTAATTAAGTTCCATGCTTTCACCAATAAAATAGTCTGGGGCTGTATATACATGAAAATAGTTAAGACTGTTTGACGTTTGGCATGAAAATGGTACTCTAGCACTTATGGTTTACTCGCTGACATTGTAACTGTTTGAAATTTGGCATGCAAATGGTACTCTAGCACTTATGGTTTACTCGCTGACATTGTTATTTATCTCTTTTATTCATTTAACATATGCCTAATGACTAATGTCATTATTAAAGTAAAGCAGTCTGCAGGTATCAATATCATCAGTACTGATTATCAACTCATCATTAATATTTTTCCCTTTGCAAGCAGCTACAGTGTTGTTTTGGGGATTTAGACTCGCCGTTAATTATCAAGTCTGCTTCTGTTGATAAGTTTTTCTCTTCGGCCTTGCGTTTTGCTAAAAAAAAAATGTAACCTATATTGAATTTGTTACTGAGCTCTCCTCATGACCACCGTGATACTTAGAGTAGTATGTGGACTGCACGGGTGAAAGTCAGGAAATGTAACTGCATAATGAGTGTAAAATTGGAATATTTTAGGTCTTGTTGACCCAAAACCTATAGTTTCGTTGGGAGCTATGAATTTATTGGGATTCTAATTTCCCTGAGAAAATGTCTTTGATATCAACAGGAGCTATGCAATGTGTTTGTTTACTTAGTCTTTTCTGTTCACATTCATGAATTGAAACAAAAATGTTATTATGTTAGTTTTTTCCATTGTGACTTTACAGTAGTAATTCTGATACTCAGCATGTCATGATGGCGATGTATCACTGCAATTTCTGTTGAAGCTTCCAAAATGAATATATTAGTTTTCTAGGCTTATTTTTGTTGCGTCAATTTTTAGTGCAATCTTTTGTTAATAAAAGCTCCATAATTTTTATTATTCAAGAGCATAGATTTCGATGTCAGTGCAGTTAACTGGTTTAGAGGCACTGATCAGTGTTTGTACAGATGAATCTTATGCTAGGAAACATACCTCATTTACTGGACCTCATCTTCTCATGGATATCACCTTCAGAGGATGATGGTGATATTTTCAGGTACTGTATACTGTTCTTTGTTATTTGTGGTTGTATTTCAGCAATTTCACTTCTTCTTCGCCCCCTTCCATCTTTCTTTGTTTCTTATTTGTCTTCCTTTTTCCAGCCACTGAAAATTGGATGTTTCATTCTTACTAGATACATGCAAAAAAGATAATAGTGGTGTTAATTTTTAAAAATGAGCATCTACCTACTTTTGCTGCAGACCTCATGGTGACCCTCAGATGATGCGTTTTGGTGCACACTTGGTGCTGGTACTTAGATACTTGCTTGCAGATCAAATGAAAGATACTTTCAGAGAGAAGATAATGACAATTGGTGATTTTATCATTCACATGTAAGTAGATATTTGTAGTGGAATCTTCTTCATGGGGATTTTTCGAGAAGCTTTTATATTGTTTGACTTTATCTCTTTTAGGTATGCAATGTTTCTTTTCACTAAGCAGCACGAGGAGTTGGTAGGAATATATGCTTCTCAGCTTGCTCGCCATCGTTGTGTAGATCTCTTTGTCCATATGATGGAGCTCAGACTCAACAGCAGGTGCTTAAATTTGATGGATTTGAGCAGTTTCCATAGAACAATTCATCATTTAGTACACCGTTCCATGAAGCAGCAAAAGCGTTCTGTTCATTATGGTGTATTTGATATTAACTTTGTGTGATGAGCTGCTTTCCTCTTTATTTGCTTTTATATACTTTTCTTAACCTATTTTTCCCCTTTGAATTTTTTGTTGGCTCGAGCGAAGATGTTTCGCGAGCTAGTGTATAGCTTGAATGCTTGACGACTTTGAAATTATATATGAAATCTGTTGATTTCGAAAAGTGTGCAACATGAGATTGTATGTTCATCTTAATTTCTTTCTTCACGTATTAACCTCTCCCTCAATCAAGTTCTGTGGTATACTATCCATTTTAATTTCTCCATCTACAGTGTGCATGTGAGATACAAGATCTTTGTGTCAGCTATTGAATATTTGCCCTTTTCTTCTGAAGATGACTCGAAAGGCAGTTTTGAAGAAATCATTGAGAGGTGACTGAATGGTAACCTTATAACGTTTTTATCAAATTTCTTGGATAAGAACTGCTCATGCTTTCAAGTTTTTCTGTTAAACAGAATTTTGTCAAGATCTAGAGAAGTTAGCTTTGGTAAACATGAAAAATCATCGGATGTTGCGGAGCAACATCGTTTGCAGAGCCTACAGAAAGCTATGGTTGTCCAGTGGCTATGCTTTACACCTCCTTCTACAATTAATGATGCCAGAGCTGTTACTCGGAAACTCGTTCTCCGTGCGTTGATGCATAGGTATTTTTTCTCTGTTATTTGAGGAGTTTATATTCAGTCAGATTATTTTTGCGGTGGCGATTTTTTCTTATTTTCCAAAACTGTTGATGAATTAAAGTTCAAGATGATATTAGTTATATGTTTCCATTACATTCACAAACTTAATGTTGTGAGTACTTAGGTTTCTCATTTATTTTATAATTGGTTTTATATATCATTCCCTGTAAACTCAAGATACAAGAAACACTAGTACTCTTTTACCCATGCACATGCACGGGCAAGGTCAAGTTTTTCATAATAGGGATTAATTAAGTTTAAATTTAGTAATCCAAAAAATTAAAAAAAAAAATATTAACGATTATGAATTTTTTTTTGTTGTACACAAGGTTATTGGTCCACTTTTTGTAACAATATCTTTATCTTTTGCGACTGGTCATTTTAAAATTATCATTATAACTGGTTGTAGTCGAAATTTTTAATCAATAGCATTAGTAATTCATTATTTAATAAACATGACTCACAACAAAATTGTTAAGTTCTACATCTAAAAAATCAATGTAATGCATATCACTGCTACTACAAGTTGCACTTTTTGCTGAAATTTCTCTTTTTACTTTATATTTTATTTAGTATTTTTAAGATTGTGATATTTTTAATAATTTAAAAAAATGCATTCAGACAAAGTGATACATGATAATTATAACTTTCCTTTTAATTTTTGAATTAAAAGAATTTAATGAAAAAAATAAGAGTTGTCATTTAATAATAACATCGACATGGTATACTTAGGCCATAAACACTTGCACTATTAAAATGAAAAACTTTATTTAACAAATGTCGCTATAACATATATAAATAAGTTAAAAAAATGATTTCATATAAATATATAACAAATAACTTTTATTTTATATGCCTATTACGAGCCTTAAATTAAAAAATAATAATAATCATTAATTTATCGTTTTATATGTAAAAGGTTGATAAAATAATCAAGTATTGAATATTATATATAATCAAAATATGTATTTCAGTATAAAAGACAAAAAAAGTGTCTATCAATAGAATTTTTATTTATAATACACATATATAAATATAGATTTATGGAGTGGCTTCTCATTAATAATATATTTTGTATGAAAATTTGATGAAAACCTAAATAGCTAATAAATAAAAAAATAATATTTTATAATAATTAAATATATATCAAATTATTATGAACCCAACAATTTTTATGCTATTTTCATACTTTATCTTTAGAATAAACATAATAAATATTTCATATTATTTTATACTTTATAATTGATTCATGATAATCCCTCCCTATATATTAATTCAAAATGTGTTGAGCCTAAGTGGAAGGCTCACACACTTTGGATGCTGACATGGCAAAAATCTATGCTCGAAATGTTATTTGTATATCAATTTTTTGCTTTGGAATTAGACTTGGTATAGACATAATAACTTTTTTCAAACTGGGTAAGTGTACATTTTATTTTATTATTTTTTTTCTCTTAGTACAATTAGCCTTTTTAATTTGGGCAAATAGCAATCTTACCATCTTATAATTTTCTCTCATATTTCTCTCCTAAATTACGATTTACAATCACTGTCTGCACTGTCTATTCCTCTTTTATTTTCATTAATTAGTCCATCAAAATTTATAAATATTATTTTATTTTATATATGTTTTAACTCAACACCCGTGTAGTACACGGGTATTGTACTAGTTTAATTTATGACTGATGGTAATTTGGACATAATTATATGTATACTTCAATTTAGGTATCTCATAAAAATTATAGAATGTTTGATTTTTTTCCAAAAGACTTGATTTTTAATAAGAAATACATAATTTCTAAATAAAGTAACAAGTGATCGACCTTATTTTATTCTTGCAGCAATTTACTCTTTCGGGAATTCGCCCTTATTTCAATGTGGAGGGTGCCTGCAGTACCCGTTGGTGCTCACACAGTGCTTAGTTTACTTGCGGAGCCTTTGAAACATCTAACAGAAGTTCTTATTTCCTCTGAAGATCATGAAGTTTCAGAGAATTTGAGGGAGTTTCAGGATTGGGTATGCCTATGAGTTATGACATATAGTTGCTCTTATGAAAAATAATGGCCTTTTTGCGGACTCAATGTATTGTATTTGTGATTAATCAGAGCGAGTACTACTCTTGTGATGCAAAGTATCGGAACTGGCTTAAAGTTGAACTAGCAAATGCAGAAGTTTCACCTGGTAAACTTTCAGAGGAGGAAAGACAAAGGAAGTTTACAGCAGCTAGAGAAACTCTTGAATCTTCATTGCTATTGCTACAAAGTGAGTTATTTCATTCCACTTATTTATTTCCGAAGTGTATAGGAAATTAAGTCTAGGAATCCAGTTTCTTATCATAATGAGCAGTGTTTTACGTAGGCTCCTATGGCTCCCGCCACCCCAGAATTTTCTCTTTGGATCTGAGACATCTATAATGATAGTATGTTGGTTCAAGAAACATAACAGCTGGCGTTGATGCTCATGTTACAGGAAAAGAGAATCCTTGGTTGGTTCCAACTCAAGATCATGTTCATGCATCAGAAGAACCTGTTTACCTGGAAGTGCATGCTACAGCTGTCCTGTCTCTTCCTTCTGGTGAATGCATGGACCCAGATGCTACATTATGTGCGACATTGACAAGTGCCCTTTACTCATCAGTGAGCGAGGAAGAAGTTCTCCATCGAGAGTTAATGGTACAGCTCGTACCTAACTTCTACCTTCTTGACATCAGTAAAAAAGAAAAGAAAATATATTTATTTTTCGTTGTTCTCGAACAAACCATGTATATATAGGCCTTTGTTGTTAGAAGTTGTGTTTGTCCCATATTGATTAGTTATTGTGTAGAAGTGTGGGTTGGGCACCCTCTCCTTTTGAGCTAGCTTTGGGGATGGCTTCTACTGTGCCCCTTTTAAAAGTTGTATGTAAAAGATAATGAAATTTTTCATAGCTAGCTCGACTGTAAGGAGAGGAAAAAAGCAATTGAATCTGCCGTCATCCTTCCTTTCTTGGAGAAAGCCTTAGTTCGCTAGCTCCGAGATGTCGTATATCATTAAATTTTCGATCAAGCACTCTTATATTACTTGTTTGAGAAGTGTTCCATCTGTATATCGAGTTTATATTTAACTTTCAATTCAATATTGAAGTAATGGGCGACCTCTAACTTGTGACATGAGCATTTAAAGTTTCTCTTACCGTGTAAGCTTCAATTGTCAGAAATTAGTATTATTGATGTGTAGGTGAATGTTTCTACCTCGCCAAAGGACAATTCTTGCATTGAAGTGGTGCTTCGATGCATGGCAGTGGAAGGGGATGGGCTTGGACCACATGCTTTTGATGATGGTGGCATTCTTGGTAATGTCCTGGCGGCTGGCTTCAAAGGTATATTTACCTACGTATTCATGACTGTCGTATCATATGCACTTGGTTTAAATGATCATATGGTTGTGCATAAGGTAGATGTGTCATCATTAAGCTTGTACAGGTGAAATCACTGTTTCTTTGTAACCTCTTATTTCTTTCCTTCAATATCCTTTCTTTCTGTTGCTTACTTTCCTCCTGCAGAATTGGGAACTGTGTGAGCTTGATTTGCTTCCTTGGTGTTATTATGTGGGGTTCTGACATGACTCCCGAACATTAATGTTTTATCTGACATTGATGAAAGAGCACAACCTTGTTCAAGTTAAATTAATTTTGGATAATTTACAACTATTACCCTTAAATGCTTCTTTTCTATACAAAAAGTCAGAAGTAAGATGTTTGCAAAATTGCACCTCCGTGTGTTTCTATCTTAAACTTTTTAGAGGGGGTAAATTTTTTAATAGTTACAAGGGTACTAATGGGGAGGGAGTCTAAACACCTACTGTGAGATATAGAGATCTAATTCTGTATCCATCAATGCAACACTTAAGGGTGAGCTATACCAATTGAGATACAAGCTTGTAATAATTTGCAATTCCTCTTAATACACGAGCGTTGTATTAAAAAATATGGATAAAAAGTTAAAAAAACAGAAGTTAATATTTTAAATTTTCAAATCTTTCTTCAAAAATTACATTATTATTTAAATCTAAAATACACACTACACAATGAATGGGCCACAATAATGTTAAATGAGTTTTATTTGATGAATATTTATTTTATTATTTTCCAACTTAGATTGATAGGTAAATTTAATTTTATATAAAGGTATCGATATTTATTTTTTGTTTTATCTAATGCAATATGAATGTCTGTTGTAAAAATATAATTTTGTTTATCATACATAAAAAACGAATTACAAAAAAAATTGTGAAGTCTTAAAACATATTTATAGTCAAAGTTACGAAGTATTTCATGATATTAAAACTACTAACCTACATGGATAAAACTCTAAATCTACATGTACTGCTCGGAACCACCAAAATTTGACAAGTAAGATATTAAGCACGGTGACAACACATAGTATTATAAAACATTAGAAGAGCTTGCGAAACTTTGTATTGGATTTTTTTTTTCTTTTTTCCTTTCTTTTTCTTTATTAGATTGATCTTAAGAAAGGTTTTTGGAATTTACCCCTTACGCTTTAATATCTAAGTTTCGGTCAGAGATATTGAGGTTGGGAGTATCTGTATAACCTTTCCGCTACACTGATATGTACGTTTATGAGAGGTTACCTTTTTGCAAATAATATATGCTTGCCAAAATAAAATCTCTATACCTATGTCAGGAGAGCTACCTCGATTTAAAGCTGGAGTGACCATGGAAATTTCTCGATTGGATGCTTGGTATTCAAGCAGTGATGGGTCTCTTGAAGGTTCTGCAACATATATAGTTCGCGGCCTTTGTCGGAAATGTTGCATTCCGGAATTATTTCTTCGGTGCATGCAGGTAATGGCATCACAGCTTTCTTGCCTGTTTTATGGTATTATAGTGTTACATATTATATTAAAATAAGAAAAAAAAGTTTGTTTTACTCTAATACAAGAAAAGTGAAAATAATAAAGCAAAGTAAGAGAAGGACAAATGTTGGTTTAAAAGGTCAGTGCACCCTGTAATATTTGCTTCTTTCTCAATATGATAATTTTGTAACAAGCACCTACTATGTATATCTGTATATTCAATAAACGTGGGTATGATATTGATTACTTATTCTGTCTACATTTTTGTTATCCTATATTGTATCGAGCTATTTGTCATATACTTACTAGTCATATACTGTAAGGGAAGTGTGGCCATTTTCTCATTGGTTTCTTTTCTCTTTTTTTTTTTTTTGGTGGTGGCNAGGTCTCTGTGTCACTAATGGAGTCTGGCTATCGACCAGAGAGGCATCACGAATTAATTGAACTGGTCAACTCTCCTGAAACTGATTTTCTTAGTTTATTCAGTCAGAATCAATTGCAGGTTAGCATGCTTTTCCATTTCCTCCTTTTTCTTCATAACCTACCAAATAATAAGTGAATGTTACCGATTAAATTCAACGGATAATTTATTTTAAGACACTCTAGTTTATATTTCGTTCAAAGTATTAATTTTAAATACGACTGGATATGCTTTCATTTGAGTGAAAAAATTTCACAACTGTATTGGGAGAGTCGATGATTATTTAATATAAAGTAATGTGGTATAAAGAATAATAATTACATGTGCTGTGATAGAGAAATAGTAGAATAATGAATAATAGTTATACATACGTTATTGGATGAACAATAGGTTTTATAGATAAACTTGAAGTAATGATTGTTTTTTAATTTAAAAGTCGTATCGAAAAATGCGAGTGGAGTAGAGTGAAAAAGTTGAATGAATGAATAGTGTATTTTTTTATTGGTGGATAGATTATGCATTTGAATATATATCCAATTGCGCTAATACTTAGATTGATTTGTTTGAACTGTTTCGTATAACAATGTTGGAGTCATTGTCTACTACGGTCAAAATCTCTAGTAAAGGAGAACTGAATTATACAGAATAGAATTGCAAGTAAATACAGGTTAAACTTTAATAACCGTTTTCTATTTGGAAAAACCAATTGAATGACATGCAAATATTTAAAGTACTGCATTCTTGTAAATGTGTATATGAAATTATTATAATTCTTGTTCTAGTACAGTAATAATATTGTACAGCTTGCGAACCATGTCTACAAATCTTGCCCTTCTAGCTTCAAACAATGCCAGCAGTGTATTCATTTGTAGGTAAATGATTACTATTGATGGACATGTTTGTACATGCAGGAATTCCTACTTTCTCAGCGAGACTGTACAATATACGAGATGGACCTTGAAGAGGGGCCAAATTCTTATTCACATGCATGATGTGAAATATGTTGTAAACCAAGCAACATGGTGCAATCACAACTTTATCTGCGCAACTACTGTAAAAAAATTTCGGGAAATGCCTGAGTAGATGTACTGTTGGTTATATCTCTTGGCTTGTGCTCTGTGAGGTTGGTCTCATGGTGATTGAGGTGAGATTTCGGATGGATTAAGTATACATTTCTGGGTGGTATCGTTAATTTTATTTGTAAAAGTGGCATCTGACTTGAAGCCATTT